TCTAGTGATTATATTAATATTTAATCAAATACAAATGTTGTCTTTAAATAAAGCACTAACCACACAGATTAAGGAGGGGGGGGAAATAGAGGTATATTTTGCCATTGTGTAGATTGAGTGTGTGTTGAATACATCAAAGCAGTCTTATGTTCAGATCTGAACAATAAGGGAAAGGTGGGGTGATGCTGGGAGGGAGGCTCTTGAGTACTGGACTACATTACTGACAAAGATTGACTGGAAAACTTTTTCGGCCTGACAAGCTCTTGGCCGGGGCTCCTCAACAAGGAAAGCAAGCAACATTCATCTATCCAGGGCTTTCATTTATATGCCAAAACATCAGTGGCAGAGCCCCTTCGCCAGCAATTTCATCATATGACTATCACATATGGACAGCGTTGGGTTACTAATAGCATGACGACTGGACTGCCAAGCAGCACTGCTGATATGACAGGAAGACAGAGGATGGCCACAGGATGGAATTATGGGTTTGTAGAGAGAAATTATGTAGCTACCTGATGAACTCATTTGCCTGGGGAATGAATGACAAAGCTAATGCTGAAAATTATTTAATGAGTAGCAGAGGGAGCTTCAGATGAAGTGCTAAAAGTTGATCTCTTCCAGGTCCTTATTAGGTCCTGATTAGGTTTTTGCGTTTGCGCCAGCTTAACAGACTAGGAGCTTTCTTTCCTGAGCATGGAGTTACTCCTGACATGCTAAACCATTGCCTTTCTCTTCTGTTGACACTGATTACTTTAAATGAGCCATACACAGACGTATCTTCTCCCTCCATGTGGGTCTGAATATGCGTGTGCAGCTTGCAGCGTTTGTTGGACTTACAGAAACACAACATGTTGTTTTGGTAATTTGGCTTCCTTGTGTGCCACAGAGTAATCACGCACAGACATTTTTATTTTGGGATTTTATTAAAGAAGCTTTGCAGGATTCACAGTTCAAAATAATCCGTATGCATCTTATGGTGGGCTTCGGTGCACCTCATAAACAACAGGTGGACATGGTTTCAGTGCTTAGAGCCATATTGGGGATGGAGGCACTGACATCATACAGGTGCAGGAGTAGAAAAAGACATTTCTGAAGCTGAGTGCTTAGAGCAGTCTGAGCTTTTGGCTTGTTCATATATTGATCTTATTTGAATGTTTAATACGAATACCTGTGAACATAGTCAGAAGCTGGGCTCAGAGATTGTGGCCTCTAAAGTGTCCGAGGCTCATACGGCCACATTAATATCTGCGTCACTCGCCACCCGCTGCTCACACAGCTCCAGTTTCAGGCAGCATTCAGAGGAAAAGTCGGGTCATGTGCTGAACCTCAGTTTTAATTAGCTAATGGCACTCCCTGTTTTATCTCATGCACCTGAGCTGATTGCTCACAAAAGACTCCATTTACTCCAGGAAACACACGGCATCTTGGCAGCAGGCTGCACTCTACATCTGAGCGTCTGCTGCAGAGGGACGCAGCCACTCTCTTCCAAAAAACAGTCTAGTAAATCTAAATATATATGTTAGCTGGTTTCACACCAGTGAAGAAAGAGGAAATTCCATGATCTATGCCTTTTTCCAGCAGGCCTCAACATCCAACTTTCCTTCAACAAGTCCTTTGACTGTGTGTCAGTCAGAGCGAGCGTGTGTGTTGGTGTTTGTCTCCGTATACACACATGTGCATACGTTTAGAAAGAGCGCTATTAAGCAGCTAATGCTGGCTGGCTTTTGTCATTGTGAAATGGAAGAGCGGCTCTTTGACTCGCCTTTAGCAACACGAAAACCTTTAAATGTATCATTTTATAGAGACGTTTGAAATAGTTAAAACGTCTCCCTATGTCACAAGATCCTACTCAATAATCATTTTACCTGAAATACATAAAACATATATATTTATATGTAATGTTTCCATATGAAAACAAAATTGCACTTGCCATGTGCTGCGCATAATTCACCGCATCAACAGTGTTTGTTCTAAAATTACAAAGTCCTTCTGAAAGACCATTACTATGACATTTAGCACAAACAGCTTGGAATAAGCAACATTTTATTTATGCTCGAAGTGCAGAATGAATCCTGCATCCCGCCGCAACATAAGCCCCTTTTAAAAACATTTAAAGCGCACCAATGTTTTAAAATTTTATGAGCACATTTTTCTCCAACATTTGATCTAAACTGCTTTGCCAAACCAACCAAATAAAGAGCACAACACTGTACTCTTGCCTGAAGTCACTGTGCCATGTAAACACGCCGCCCTTTGCACACAGAGCTTCAGCGGTTTAAGAAAGATGTTTTCTGAAGTTCATAGCTCCCAGTGCAGCCTTCAGACACTTCAAATCCACAAGGCCGGCCTCTGACAAAGAAGAACAATATCAAAGTCTAGGACCATGACAGGGCTGCTCTTGCTGGATATATTTTTAATATTTATGCAGACGCAGGAAAAAATGCAATAAACTAAAACAACAAGTGAATTAGGCATGAAACACAACAGGATATTGCAGAGAGATTATGTTGTTTCCTTTTCGCCCGTGTGTCCCTCGGCATTTGCTTGCCCTGTGCAACAACTCAGGGCTGGCTTTAATTGGAGGGAATAGGAACAAAAAATATTTTCTAAAAAGGTAGCGCAACATTTTAAGAGCCTCAAATTCAGTCGTCGACTTATTTCTCAAATGGGACATTTGGTAAGATATTAGCCAGGTGACAGACCCACGCAGGGGACGAGGTACGACTGTGTGTTGTGATAATGACTTTTTGCCGTCAAGATGCAGCATGAAGCGAATCCTGTGCAGCTGCATGAAGAAAGTAGAAAGAGTGTATATATGGAGCAGGAGGGGGGGTGTGTTATGTTTGGATGTCGGGCAGGCCTCGCTTCATGAGCGCCTGCTGGAATCTGCCGCTAGAAAGATAATAAAAGGATTAGCCCTGTTGTTTCTAGAGCATTTGGTCCTAAAACAGAAGGTCTCATCTGTTTCCTCTATATGAATTGCTCGAATTCTTGAATGCCTTTGTCTATTACATGAGCACAAGGAGCACAAGAGGCATCAGTGCTAGTGGGAAAAAGCGCACGTACCCAGACACCAGAAAAAGAAAGAAAGAAAAACTAAGAAGGTACTTGAGACGGTTTTCAGACGCACACAGAGACACAAGGTTTCCAATGAGGGCAGAGCATTTACTTAAACGTGTATAGACTACAAAAACACAAACAGAGTTACAAATACACACACACACACACACACAGAGTGTGTTTATTTTCCCAGGGCCTCAGAGTTTATCTGCTGAAGTCCCGGATCAACATACATTAAATCCCAGATGATTAGATGTGTTGATGCAAGCTTTAAATCATTTCTTATTTATGTTGGTTTTTTCTGGGGGGAAACCACGAGTGTTACAATTCATTGTACTGCACATGGAATCAATACTTCCTATTGTGAGAGTGATTCAATGTACTGCCATTGCCGTGACTTTGTTTTTTCATGCATTGAGCATAAACAGGAGGTTAAGGTGAGTTTCACAGTGACTCACATCCGCAGACAAAGTCCAGCGTCGTGTCCACACTGAGACGAATTGTTCTCTCACATGTGGTAAACATCTCCAAAAACACACCTCGGCGCAACATTTATGCACACCTATACGAAACGCATAAATCTGCTGTGTGTCACCAGACGTGCTGTGCCTGCTGTGCAAACACACATTGCTTTAATGAGCAACAATAACAACAACAACAACAACAAAAAAGGGACAAATGAAAGCCTGTAATACAACGCAACGCTGAAGCTGAATTAACAGTTTAGGCACGAACAGCAAATTACTTCCAAATTTTTACTGAGCCAAGGAAGCAGAGACACTAATACCCCAGAGTGACGCAAAGCAGGGAGAACAGCAGCAACAGTTGAGTTTGTGTCTTTTTGCCTTCGGTCAGCAGATGTGTAACAGCAAGCAGGAGAATTAGTAGATTCAGCATGAATGTCTTAATTAGCGCACAAGGACGGTAAAACCAGCCTCTCCCTTTAGTTCATTTCACAAGCCACTGGTTTTTTAGGAAAACAAACAAGATCTGGAGAACAAGGCGCTACAGAAACATGATACATTTTTTCAATTAGCATTTGGATTTGGATGAATTCTTCAACCTGAAGAAGACCGCTGACAGATTTGGGTGAAGCCTCCGTGTCTCACTTCTCCAGACTACATTTCTCCTCATGTTTGCCTTGGATATGAATCCAACTCACTTAATACTTGTGGGACAGCTAAACTTTTAAAGCTCCCATTTAATGTGGGCATTGTTTGGTTATGTTAACCACATGCGTTGGCTTTTCACGATCTGAATCCCTTCTCAAAAAACGAAGTGCCCGTGAAAATAAACACGGCTTCTTGCTACACAAATTGTGCACTAATTGTGTATTTGGACTGAATCGTTTTAAAGGTTGGAGGGCATTTTCCATTCGTGAAGGGATGCTGGGAGGTGACAGCTTGACGCTGATTGTGTGTTGATTTGTGCAACCTGAAGCCTTACCTGCAAATACAACCGCAGATCTATTTATGCTGACGAAGGACTGCTGCTCTTACGGCATTTCACATCTTCAGTGGAAGAAAAACTCTTTTGTTTTTGCATGTTCCACTTGAAATACGGGAATTACAATCATAACTGTTTCTCAACCAAAACAAAATAAGAGTTTCTGTTGAAATTTAATCAGCAGTGAAGCAAGGCCAGTCCTTTTTTTTCTGGATACAACATGTATCTTTCTGAGAAAAAAAATCTTCTTGAATTACTGTATTATGTTGTGAAATATGTGCTTGTATTTAATTTAAACAAAAAAAAAATCCCAGATGGTTGCAATTATGAGATAAACTACACTCATATTAAACTAATAAATACAACGAAGACCTTCAGAAGGAATAAGAACGCTGACTACGAGGGGATTTTTTACAATATTCTACGTATATGTTTTGAATCTTTTGGCTTCGGTCTGTGGTGGGAGAAGAACTTAGTGGTTTATGATGACTCACCATACACTTGTTGGGTTTCTCTCCAGAATGGACCCTCATGTGAATGAGCAGCTTGTAGCGTGCATTGAAGGGCTTGTAGCGCCGAATACAGCCAGCCCAGAAACAGGTGAAGTCCTCACCTTTGCGTTGGTCGATGTGGACCTTTTCAATATGTCTCACAAGCTCCTCCTGCTGCTCAAAAGCAGCACTGCAGTCAATCCAGCGACACACCTGTTTATCCACCAGCCCTCCTCCTCCGACTTCTTCCGGCTCGGGGGCTGCGTGGGCCACCGCAGGGCCTCCTGAGGTTGGTTTGAGTCCGAGGGAAGAGCCTGGAGTTGTCTGCTGGTTGTGATGGTGTAGTGGGCCGTTGGGAGTGGGCCCCACATATTGGTGCAAGTGGTAAGGCGGAGGCATGGCCGATCGAGGTGGGTGGTGAGCGTGACGAAGATTCCCACTGCGCCCACTTAAGTGATGGTGATGATGATAGTGGTGCTGAAAGAGTTTGTCTTCGCTGGGAGAGAAGTCATCGAGCGGTTCCTGCTTGAGGACAGCCCCAGATCTTTGGCCCCCATCTGGGAGACCCCCACCCTGAGGCCCCGAATGCAGAGTCCCAGACATCAGGGCCCCACTCATCAGTAGCCCCAACCCGTCTGAGCCTCCTCCTCCTCCTCCCTCAGCTGTTCCTCCAGCCCCACGCCCTTGCAGCATGGAGCCCTGCTCCTCGCACAGCCCCAGGCTCTGCCCTTGGCCTTGCTCCGGCTCCCCTAATGACACTGAAGAAGAGGATGAGGAAGAGGAAAGAGACAACAGGCAGGTGGCAGGTGAGGACAGCTGACAGCTCTCCTGCAGTGCAGCCTGCTGGGGGCTGCTGTGTGGTGGGGGCCTCTGGGGGGCTTCCCGTGAGCAGGAGTTAGAGGGTGGGGAAGCAGTAGAGGAGGAGGAGGAGGAAGAGAAGCCGGCGCTGCTGGTGTTGCTTGGCGAGAGGTTAGCACGGAACCCGTTGACGCAGGCGACCATCGACATCTGGGAGGAGGAGCAGATGATTGCGGTGATATTGATCTCCTCAGAAGCGGTGCCAACAGCTGATGGGGAACCGGTGGCAGCAGCGGCGGTGGATTGCGAGGCCAGGGACAGGCAGCGTCTCTTCAGACTGCCAGCGCTGAGCAGCCGCGCTGAATGACGAGAGCCAATTGGAGACAAAGCCAGCGGGGAGGAGCCATCTTCATTATTAAACGGTTGTCCTGCGTCTCCTGGCACAGCGCTACCTACACCGCTCACTGCACATACGCCATTACCGCTGTTGCTAACATGCAGTGACCCAACCATCTCATCCCTGGCCACCTCCAAAACTTGGCCTGCAGCGTGGGCCTGAAATCCAGCCTGAGATGAAGACTCCACGTTGGAGATCTTGTAGCCCATCGAGCTCTCCTGTTTGACTGGGTAAGGGAGAGAGGAGCGAACGCCGCTGGCACCGCAGCCCAGGCTGGGTGAGGCCCCTGGCAGGGTCCTCCCGAAGGCAGAGGAGGATCTGCGGGGAGAAAAATACAAAAGGAATGTGAGCACTATTAGCTCAGTGCCTGTTGACAGACAGGCTGGTTCATCCTTCCCACCAACATCGCCGTCAGTGTTCTGCCTTTTCATACTGTCGTTTCATACTCTGTTTTCCTTCAGTTTAAAATTAAAATCACGTAAAAGGTCCCACTAACCTAAAATATTTCAGCTGAGCCTCCCGTATCAGAAGGGAGTTATGGATGGAATAGACCATGACAAGCGAACAGCAACAGAAAATTGTTGATAATCCAAAGTGGCTTTTTTTAATGAATAAATGAAAGAGGATCTTCTTGTAGTGAGGGGATATGAATGGGCATTTAAGACTAATAATAGAGCGAGGGGGAGGGTTGGATGGCGACTGAGACCGAGAGGCCACTGGCTGGTGTGTCCATCTGACGGGCTTTGATGACACAAAGGGGTTAAACCCAACCCAACGGTGGGGATAAATAGGGAGTCACCTGTTTTGGTGGTATAATTGCAGCCTATGAAGGGTCACCATTTACAATACTGTGTATTATGGTGGGAATCTTTGCCTTGCTGAATGGGGAACCCAGGTCATGTTTCTCCATGCGTTGCTGTGATCTCCTACATAATCATTCCTGTCAGTTGGCTCATTATGGATTTTGTCCAAAGCCCCTGAGTGATGTGAGAAGAGCTCTCTTTTTCCCTGGCTGTCGTCTTTGTCTCTTCCCCAGAGCACGCCCAGGAAAAAACAGCACTAATGCTAACTGGGACAGGAGAAAGCCACTGGCAGGCCTTGTCATCATTGCTGTTAATAAAGACTTGACCCCTCTTCTTATTTTTTTTCTATTCGGTAGCCTCATTTCCTCTTCGGCTGTACTGAAAATATTGAGAGACAATACGGGAGAAATCAAAGTCTGTCCAGACGCTTTCAGCCGGATGGCTAAGACGAGAGAGAGAGAGAGGAGTCGGGGGAGGGAGAAGGAGGACAAATCCACTTCTGCCTTGACCAACAGTAGTCACAATTTGCACACGGAGGAATTGCATTAGTGTAGCATAAATGTTGTACTTCAGTGTGTTTTATGAGGCCGCTGGGCAATGCTGTCTAGCAACATATGTGTGCAACTGATTCACAATAGCAAACATAATGAGAACCATATTGTACCTGCATATTGTTAGTAACACTACACCAAACAGGAAACATTCAGAACTGGAAGTGGAAAAATATGATATCAAACGGTGACACTTCACCTGGCGTCATGATGAGGCCCATCCTGCAGAAGGAGGTCAGGTGTAGGTCTGCTGCACTGGAGGCTCTGGGAGTAAAGCCCCTCCGAATGACCCCCCGCTGGAAGCAGCAGGCTCTGCCCACATCGCATCAGGGGGCCCTCGGCATTGCCCAGCTCAGCATTTGCATCTTTCTCTGAGCAGTAGGTCCCATTCACTGGAAATGGACAGAGATAATATTACTAAATAGTCTACTTCACAAACTGCACACCTTTTGTCAAAGCAGACCAACACATGCGTTGTGCGTGCTGATATCAAGGTATGGTTTTAGCTAGCAGAACACTGACCCGATGTTACTCTCAAATTAAAAGTTGGCTAAAGCTAAAGCTCAGTGATCTGCTGACCGTCCTGGAAAAAGAGCCAGCTGAAAATAATCAGTTTACATTGGGATGCATGCAATCACGGACATGTTGAAACTCTATTACATTATGAATATTCTCTCGAGGAATAGTTGTTGGCTGCCTCAACTATCACCGCGTCGAGTGATACACGGAGAGCTCTTTGGCAATATCCGACTGGTGGCTGTAAGAATAACGTCACATATTAGTGCTGGAGTAACGAAGAAATTCTAATCCAAATGTCATTTTGGAAAAAGAGCTAACTCAGCCAAATGAAGTGAAACTGTTTTATCTTTCCAGACCTTTAATTAAAAAAATTAAATATCAATCATTTTAATTGTTATCATTTATCACATTTTATCATTTATTTGTTTCACTGGCTAATTTATATTTTGTAACAAGTCTAATGTAAGTAGGCGGTGAGTTAACATAAAAATCAAGAGCTGTTGCACTAAACACAAAGATGTTTATCATCTCAGAAAAAATAACAATTAAAAATATACAAATAAATAAAAGGAGCATAACTGCTGAGGAGTTAAGACAAAATTCATTTTTCTGACTAAAGAAAAAAACAGGAAAACGTGTTAAATTCAAATCTGTCATAACCTGTCATTTTATTCAAATGTGTGTTTTAACACGTTTGTCTAATGTGATTACTTGATGAAGATTGCATACTTTATGATTGTGGCCATAAATGTAATAAAAAAACAAAGAGAGGGATGAATGTGAGAGAAGGGAGGGCTTGGTGTATGAGGAAATGTTTTTGAAGGGTAAGTCGATATCCCCACGCTCGTGTGCAGGCGACTGCGCGGCCCCTGTTCCAACTTTCTTAACTCAATTTCTTAAATTTAATTTTCTGCTAACAATATTACTGATAATGTTATCACACACTACAAGCTATAATTAATAAAACCAACCAGCTATTCTGTATGTGAAAGAAAACATTAAGAAGGAAAAAAAGACAAAAAGCACGTAAAGGAGAAAATCTACTAAATGTAGTGAAACGTGCAAAAATAGGGATTCATGAAAAAGGAAAAAGAAAGGCGTAAGAAAGCTATTACAACATTAGTAACAGATGGAAAGAGAACAGAAGAGAGAGAGGGAGGGAATGCTTTGGAATATGGGAAAAAGGTTATAAGAATGAACAAAAGACAAGAGAAAACAAGGGCACTCTGTGGTCATGTTATCCTCAGTTTAACAAACATATTTTCACATATCCTTCCTACAGCTGACGAGCCCAAGTCTCCGCTGCGTTTGTCTTTTCGTGGGTCACAGCAGAAACACAAAGAAGTAGAGAAAAGGCAAAACGAGCAACGCAAACAGTGCAGCATCGCCAAGGGAACAGCGCTGCTTTCACTCAAAACTGTTAACAGAAGGCGAGATGAATTTCAGCTCTCGCCTGTTTTCAAGCAACACAAATCGCTCTGTTTATCAAAATCTGGACCGCTCCACTTTGTTTTATTTCATTTATTTATTTATTTTTACCATTTGTTGGCCGAGCATCTCACCGGTTAGTGTATACAAATGAGTTTCTGTATGAAATCTTCAAGGCCCGACGATGTGAACCAAGCATCTCCCCGCCTTAGGTTAGAAATCAATCAGGCTTTGACTGAATGCACATGCACTCGCACACACATGTCCTAGTTACCAGCCTTTATTAATAATAAAAAAACAAAATACGAAATACGAGACAGTGTTCATTACTCCCTTCCACAATAATGATGTTTGCAAGAAAAGAAACGAATTACAAACAGAGATAAACAAGATAAATATCTAGAAACGATGATAACCTGTCTTAAAATTGATTTACAATAACAGGTGCAGAATTCATTTGCTGTTTTGCAGGACAGTCTAAACAGAAAGAAAGTGCACCCTCTGTCACTTCTAAGCTTTTATATATCAGGATATAATAATTTATGTCCTTTGAATGTCTTTAAATTAGGGACATATAACCTGAGACGAACAAAATATGACGTAGTTCACCTCGTCATCGTCGATTCAATGCAAAATGCAGAAGCATTATGTGAAGAACTAAGTACACCCCAAGATTTAATACACTGTCCAATAGACGGTCTCGCATTTGACTTTAAAACACTTTCATGTTTGGCTAAATGGCTGCAAGGCGCTCCGGCCCCGCGGCTGCAGAACAAGACCAAATCGAGGAGGCTTTCTCCTGGCAGCCCGCTCAGTCTTTTTCGATTTGTACCGTCAGAGATGAAGCTCTTGGCTTTTTTACATTTCTCTCATCGTTGCACAGTCTGACCTGTGTGAGTTTGCTGCGACATCCACTCTTGGGAAGATGTGCATCTGTCTTAAGTGTTTTCCTGTGAATAATCTTTTTCACTGTAGAATAACAGCCTCATAAATAACCTCCCAGCAGCTCACAATTCAAAAGGGTGTACGTAATGCTTCACATACGGTTTCTGCATTTTGGCTTGATTTTTGTGAAATATAAATTGTCACAGTGCAACATGTGAAGTGTTTTTATTTTTGCTCATCTGACATTATATTTACTTGCTTAAGGTTCTTGTGTGGCTCAAGGTGTTTAGACAATTTCTACATTTTTTTATTAAATTAAAAATATTTGCAGGAAAAAAGAAATTCAACAGTTGTGTTTTTAACTCTTAACTACAAACCCAATTCCTAAACACTGGCCCGTGATCCTCGGGCCCTCAGAGGGAACCGCATTAAAAACAGGCATGATTCTGCCATGGAAATCACACCATGAGATTGGGAACACTTCCAGAAAACACCGTCTTACACACAGTTCACTGTGCCATCCACAAAGGCAGGTTAAAGCAAAGAAGAAGCCATGTGAGTGTATCCAGAAACACTGCCGTCTTCTCTGGGCCAAGCTCTTTAAAATGGACGGAGGAAAGGTGGAAAACTGTACTTTGGTCAGATTCTTTTTGGAAAATACGAGATGCTCCGTTCAAAAGCCTGTATCTCTGATGCTATAGGGGTGTATATGGAGTTAGCAGCCCGAACATCTGGAAAGGCACCATCAATGCTTAAAGGCATATACAGGTTTCACAGCAACAATGCTAAACCCCAAACTGTGGCTATTCCAACAGCGCGGCTTGGTGGTAGAAGAGCGCTCGACTGACCTGGGGACTGCACCAGATGAAAACATCTGGCACGTAATGAAACAAAACTATGACAACCCAGGACTGTGGGGCAGCTATGATTCTATGTCAGACAAGAATGAGACAAGTTTCCCAGGAGTCCAACAACTGGTCTCCTCAGGTCCCAGACTTCGTTAAAAGAAGACGAGATGTTACATAGAGGTCCTGTCTCATCTGTTTCCATCAAATTCAAAAGTTTGTTTCTTTATATATTTAAAATATGCACAGCACTGCCCTTCATTTGGACAGCAAAACTCTTCTGTCTCTGTCCTTTTCGGACTAGGAAGTAGTCAGCAGGACATAAAACCTCTTGGGTACAAAGAAAGAGCCACGTGATCCAAACAGAGAAATATGAACTATGGCTACATCTGTTTGCCCAACCTACAAACCACAAACTGAATAAAATTAATGATGATGTGACCCTGTCAAACACCGTATAGACTTTAAAATTCTTTTGCTTACTTTTAAAATTTTAAACAATTTGGCACCCAGTTACCTGACTGAACTCCTCCGCTTGTACAAGCCCAGGAGGGCACTAAGATCATCCTGCCAGATGCTCTCAGAACAACTTAGATCCCGGCTGAAGTCCAGAGGTGATCGGGCCTTTGCATCTGCAGCACCTTGACTCTGGAATTGTCTCCCCGCTTCTATTCACAATTCTGAGTCTATTCATTCTTTTTAATCGCGTCTTAAAACTCATTTTTTTACTTTGGCTTTTGGATCAAATTAGTTTTAACCATCATCAGGCCTGTTTTATGTCACCTTTGAGGTTTGTTGGTGTGTTTGTTTGTTAACTTTTAATCTCTTGCTGTTTTTTGCTGATTGTTAAGCACTTTGATCAACCCTGTTGTTGGTAAATGTGCAATATAAATGAATAAACCTGAACCTGAAACCTGATCGATTGAATATGTTTGAGCAAAAATTGTGTAGAGCAGCAAAACAAAAAAGCACTGAGCACATGCAAAGTAATCTACAGGTGTTTTTTGTGTATTCTTTCAGTAAAAGTTACACTTACACAAAGTTTTATTGACTTCCTATGATCTTATGTGGGACTCTACACGCAATTTTCCAGCAGTTTCCAATTAGATGTAAAGTATGAACATACTATGCTCCTGTGTCCAATATTCACATCCAAGTATTGCTTAAGTAGCCCCGTATCCAGGTGTTGCAACTCAGGGGTTGTCTTCAACAAAAGGCACCTTCTGATTTTCTCCAGGACATTGAAGTAAAAGTGTTTCATGAGTGTTAAAGTTCTCGATCCCTTCACTGCAGAGAGTTGGCGCTCCAGTGATTTAGAGCTTTGTGACATTAACAGAATCAGTCATGCTCTGGTTGGGGAAACAGCAGCCTCCTCAGCCATATGGAGGTTTGGACCGAATCCAAACGTAAAATCAGTTTATATTGAATGTGCTATGGTAATTCACTGTTGAACATTTCATTGTGTGTTAGAGCCTAGTTTGATCAGGAGGTGGGAGCCAGATAGAGCATCAGGGACTGAGGTGAAATGTAAGACATCCAACAAGAATGACAGGTGAAGAGTGTGTGTGTGAATGAAAGAGCGAGAGGTGATCATTCTCTGGATTATGCAGAGGTTATGACTCGCCTATTGAGCGAAGCAGCTATGCATCATACTTTGCATTCCCTTGGCTCTGAGTTTGAATTTTTTTCTTGTTATGTTCTGAAAAACACTTGAG